ATGATGATCCCTGTTAAGAGCAGTCACATCACGCGAGACTGAACTTACTGTCTTGCCATTCGAGCCTATGCAAGCCTGCGTGGAAGTAATTTCTGTTGAGGATAATGGGATTTACTCTAGATAAGGTTCAATCATACTCCTCACCTCTTGTCCTTTTTCCTTCTTTCCCACACCTTCAAAGCAGATTCTTATTTTTAAAAAGTTACCATGTGTGATTACTTAAAGCTGGTGCTCAATGGGCAAAAGATTCTTAGTTGTGCAGTTACTTTTAAAATTCTGTGCCCTGTGTGTGTTCACAGGCCATCACATGAGTGCTGCTTGCAGAGTGTCCACAAAACTATTTGACCCAGAGTAAAAGAAATGTCTGCCCCACAAACAACATTTGTGGGGTTGAAGTGAAATTTGGGAAACTCTCAGCATTCCATCTTACATAGGCTGGCTGGGCCCAATGGGAATTGGAGTCACACAACCTATGGAAGGCCACAGGCTCTTCAACCATGTTGTGGAGTTTCAAACTGTGGCCAATCTGGCTTTTGTAATTTGATTGAGAAGGGTCTTCTACTAAAGAAAATGCCCTAAATCTTTATTGCCATGCATGCAGTTTAAGATGCTGACCATGAATTTCTACACTGAATATATTTAACATTTTATTCCCCCTGCCTTGCCACCATAAAATCCTCAAATGCATTGTTGGAGTGGGGTTAATGTTTCAGAGGAAATACGAATTCAAATATGTAGTGAGCAAACTGGGAAAAATTGCTTGAGATCTCTCCCCTACACCAATTTCTATCCTCACTTCTTGCTTACTCTCTAATCTCTTGCTAAGTTCAAGAGCTGTTAAATAGTTTCTCTGAGAAAGAGCTCTTGGCTTCAGTCCCAAACCATCCTGGAGGGAACTGGTTGTGCTTCTCTTGTGGGACCTGTTGCTGAGAAACAACCTTGAAGGCCAAATGTGTGTCTTTGTCATGCAGGAACAGAAGCAGGTGAGGTAGCAGAGTGAGACAGCTGGAGTCAACTGCTGTGAAAAATCAATGTTAGGATGGGCATGTTTTGACAATGAGGCTGTTTACCTTAACTGTTTTATGAGATTCGACATGTATACTGTATCTTCCATTTTCTGCAATTCAGCTTATTTCTGGAGTTCCATGCAGAACTTGAACAGAGCACTTTTTTGGTTGGCTGGTTTTAAATAAAGAAACAAGTTTCTAGCCCTCATGGTTGATGAAAACTCTTTAGTGTGGACTGAACAACCATTTGCAAAACTAGTGTCTATTCGTTTCAAATGAGCTAGATGGCTTGTTTGTACAGTAGGAGGCAGACTCCATGGCAGCAAGAAAAGCAAGGAAATTGTGTGTCCTCCCCCTTAGATGAAAGACATTTGGGCCAGGCAATGTAAATGAGATAAATTAAGCAAATTAGCATAACTCTGATTATTGCAGTCGTTGCTCTACTGCAGAATCCAGAATATTTTGGCAAGGAAAACAGGAGTTTTAGCAGTAGCAATGCATCTATACTGAGTTTCTGTGTAGTAGCTCAACGGTTAACAACAAACTATGAGCTGTGATACTTTGGTACAAAGCTCAGCCAGGAACTCATTGGCCTCAGTCACTTTTTCTCAGCTTCAGGACAATAATATGGGGGAGATGATGTTGGCCTACTCTGCAAGGCTGAGCAGAGGGTAACTGTGACCCATCTATGTGGTGTAGTGATTAGACTTGGGGGATCCACACTCGGGGCATTGGACTTGGGGGATCCCCACTCAACTATGAAGCCTACTGGGTGATTTTGGACTAGTCACAGACATTCGGCCCAACCTACCTCACAAGGTTGTTGTTGTGAGGATAAAAATGGAGTGAAAGAGTACTGCATAAACTGCCTTTGGTTCCTTAAAAGAGGAACTCAGGGAGGAATATAAGTGCAATGTGAAGTGCTTTGAGCACTTATGGAAAGTATTATACATGTTGAGTGCATTAAATGAAAATCAGATAGTGTGCTTTAAGGCAGCTTAATATGAGAGCCAGTGTGGTACAGGGGTCAGAGTGTAGGCCAGGGCTCAGGAGATCTGGGTTCTAGTCCCCATTTGAGCTAGTCGTAGTGTCTCAGTCTAACCTACCCCACAGAGAGCTTGTGAACATCAAACAGATAGGAAGTAAACTGCCTACGGTTCCTTTCAAGAAGAAAGGTGGGGTATACATGTAATAAAGTGATAATATTAAAAACAGGGCTCATAAATCCATCAGGAAATGTTCCTGTTGAAACAAATGGGATGTACACAAGAGCACACCTGTCCAATCTAGTGAGTGTTTGGTGGAGGGTATGTGTGTCATATATGGATTAAGGGCCTTCTTATCTGCATAGTATCAACAGGAGCACAATGGGACTATGATCTTTACTGGCATTCCTGTCTTTGCTATGTTCTATTTTTTCTTTTTCAAAATTTTAAGTGTGTATATTTTAACAAACATTACTGCTGGGTCTCTTTACTCAAGCTGAGTTAATTTAAATACAGGTGTTACCTTTGACATTTTTTCTATCCAATCCACAAGTGAGGAGGTCTTTGCTACAACTGGGGCCTTTGCTAAGTATTATTCCACACAAGAGGGTGAAGGGCTTTCCTGCTGAGTTAAACTACAGCTTCCAAAAGAGCAAAATAGCTGGCATTGATAGTGTGACATGCTCCCCCTTCCCCAAAAGCTGAAACCTCAGGGCACTTTTTACTGGATGAGTTTCTTCTGGAGGATGGAGCACTGGAGACTTCTAGTAGCTTTGAAGTGATCTGTATAAAAGGGTACAGGCTGAGCAGACTTTGAATGCAAAAGCAAGTATGAATTCCAAAGTGGCATTATCCATTCAATACCTCCAAATCAAAACCAGGTCTCCATCAGCCCATCAAATCCTGAAGGTTCCTTATTCAGCTCTGCTCAGTTCTCACACAGCTTCAGATCAGCCAACCAAGCTTCAGCTCCTTCCTGTAATGCAGGTGAAAGTGACTCTGTATACATTCAATGTTAACTTTAGACAACGTACAGCCATTGCTTCTCTTGGATCAGGAAAACAGCATGGCTCTCAGTGGAACCAATTCTGGTCAAGATTTGATTCAGGCAAGGCATGCTTAGAATTTTGCAGAATCCCACTTCGAGAGTCCAACAAATATTGTGCAAATAATGTTTTCATGCCTAGGTAATCACAAATGCCATATCTGAACAGCATGAGTCCTTATGCACCTGCAAAATTCAAAGCCAGGAAGCTGTTCCTAAAAATCCATTCTTATCCCCACCTTGGTTGCCGTAAGAATAAATCTTGGAAGAATTCTACTCTGGTAGATTCTTTTCTATATGCTTGTAGAATATAATTGGTCATAAGTGTGAAAGACCCTCCTTTGTCAACAAACATTTTCCACCTTTCACTTGGCTCTGTGTAGCTCGGCATATCTGGGGGGCAGTCCTGCATATGTTTAGACAGAAAAAAGTCCTAAAAATTCCCAACATGTTCCAGCCATCACAGGGCATTATTTCCCCCATTTAAACATGCGCAGAATTAAGAGGTTTTGGGTGAAGCTTTTTCTGGTAGGGATGTAAGCGATGGGGGAAACTGGGGGAACCTAATATGTGTGTGTAACAGAATGTAACCTCAGGACCATGATGTATAATGGGCAAACCTACATTAGGATCAGTGTAAGCTAATTTATGTAAGAAAAGAAAAATCAGTGTAAAAATGATGTGTCAATCTGGCAAGGCCCTGTAGCATTTGAAAATACCTCTCCAGAGCACCTGGGAATGTCTCCTGCCAGCCTGGACCATCCCTCCGGCCTTCTATCAGATCACCCCTTGGAAGATGCCATGGGTTCAGCATGGAGCGATGCCATCTCCCCCACCTAAAGCCACCATGACGGATCCTTCTTTTCCCCGGATCCTACAGGACCAGCTCTGAGCGGATCCAGGTAACTGTCTCCCTGCACGGGAGACACTGGCAAAATTAAAACCAGCCAACACCCACCGTCCAGCAAACAAGCAACTCACGCCCCCTCCCCCCACCCCCCAAAAAAGACCTCGCAACTCTACAGGTTGCATGTTCCTTTAAGAGAGCCACCGGGTGTGTCTTAAGTAGCTATGGTAACTTCCAAGTTGAAGATGCTGCACGATGCGAGGAGCCGGGTGGCTGAAGCCGGCAGGGCTGGATCGGGGGTGGCCGCCGCCGCCGCCGCCGCCGCCTGCCCAGCGCTCGGGGAAGCGCTCGCCGAGCCGCCGCCGAGCCGAGCCGAGCCAGTGACGCCGCGGAGTAACTTTCGGCGCAGGGACGCGTCCGGGAGCAGCAGCAGCAGCGGGACCGCGGCGGAGGCGGCGGCGGCGCGGTGCTGAGCGAGGCATTATGCCCCGGGCGCCCCGGGTTTGCTGGCCGTCGCAGCGAGGGGCGCTTTGCGGGACTTGCCGCCGGAGTTGCGCCGGGGGACTGCGGGCAGCGAGGCGAAGATGCGGCCGCCGCTCCGCGGGGCGCCGGCGGGTTGCGGACGGCGGGGACGCGAGGCGCGGGCTGGAAGGAGGGGAGCCTTGAGCGCCCGCGGCTCGGGGCATGGGCGCCGCGCGTAAGCCGGCGGCGGGCGCGGGGGCCTCCAGCCGGGCTGCCTTGCTGCCGCCTCGTCCCGGCCGTTGCGAGGGCTGAGCTGCTCACTTCGGACTTCGCGCCAGGACTTTCCCTCCGGCGAGCCAGGGGGCAGAGCGCCGCTCGCCTTCCCCGCTCCGCTGCCGCCTCCCCTCCGGCAGGCGCGGCTGCCTCGCCGCCCGGGCTCGGCGCGCTCCGGCCGCGGGCAGCTAGTCTTGGCACCGAACGCCTCCCGCGCCCGCGGCGGCGCCCGCAGCGAGTGGGAGTCGCGGGTGGGCGGCGGGCTCTCCCGCTGCCAGGCTTGACCTGGGGAGACGGGCTGCCCCCGCGCGGCCCCGGAAGACTTCCAGAGTTCTTTCCCCCGCGCTGGATGATGGAGAGGTCCTCGAGCAAGTCCTAAAATGCCGGTAATGAGGGGCCTCCTGGCTCCCCAAAACACCTTCTTGGATACCATAGCAACCCGCTTTGATGGCACGCGTGAGTTGGCTTCCCACTCTCTCTTTCTCGACGGTCCGCTCTTCCCCTTCGTGTCTAGGCCTTCCGTAAGAAAGCTCGACGGGATGTCACCTCGGCAGTTTCTTTGCAAGAGTGTTCCCAGCTTCCCACTCATCCGCTCCAGCTTGTAAATGTTATCTCCTACAATTGTCTACTACAGGATCCCACAGCTTGCTGCCTTCCTGATGTGCTGGACTACAGCTCCCACCATCCACAGCTAGTAGGGTTGGGGATGATGTGTGTTGTAGTCAGAAGTACCCAGAGAGCAGCAAACTGGAGAAAGCTGGTCTTCCGCATCCATGCAAGATGAGCATGTCTGTCTACCTTCTGCTCAGCCCCATCCAATCTCCTTCCTCTCTCCATCTCCCACAGTTTAATTCTAGTGGTCTCTTTGTCTGTGCCAGCTGACATGGACTTCCCATGGGCAAGTACTGGGGATCTGAAAGCAGTGGTGGCTTCCCAGATCATGGTGTGCATACATGTGCATGCCGGTGCAGTCTGCATATGGGGCTGCATGCTGGTCTGAGGTCGCCTGCAAATTCAGCCTGATTGTCTCACCGGCTCCTCTGGGGCTCCTAAGCTTTATAGCACTGGGAGGCTCATCAGCGGGTATCTTTCCACTGGTGTTGCCGATTGCAGATCTCAAGAGAGCTACTGCGCCTTTTAAGAAGGATTTCACCATGTGCTGCTTTTCTCTGCTACTGTAGTATTGTGTCCAAGAAGAGTGGCACATGGTGAAATTACAAGTTCTGGAGATGAATATAGCAGCCCTCAGCACCTTGCACCTGGCAGTCCAAGTGACCAGATATCACAAAGAGCTTTCTCAGCCCATCAGCCTGGAAGCCCTGTCAGAATTTGTATCTGGCATCCCTGAGGATAACCCTGAGCTAACACACCCTTTCCTCCCCAGCTGCCTCGTTTTACTGTTCTGTGTGTATATGTTCAGTTAAAATATAGTGTGTATGAATGTGATGAACAATTTTTTGCAAGTACGTGTGCTATAAGTCACATTCCCCAGGGCAACGAGATTGATTCTGGCTGCCTGTGGAGTGTGCTTCCATGGGTGATGTGCGAGATGGACCTCGAATATCTCATGCATGCACTACAATGTGTAAAGGTTGCAAGACAGTGCCTGAAAAAGCATGTCTCCCACAGGCCACAACTCCCTGGGTTTGTCATGCACATGATGGAGAGCTGGCTGGAGAAACTTTTTGTGAGACTGGGCTTTGGAAAGATGAGAAGTTCAAATGATGTCCATGCCGCTAGTTTCTTGTGTGAAGATGGAGTGGCTTGTACTATGGAACAAGAATGATCTGCATGATATTTTTCTCAGCTTTCCTCCTAGATGTTCAGAACGGTTGACATAACTTTTTTGCCCTGACAATAATTTTAGGATGTAGGTGGCTGGTGCAACAGTACCAGCCCAAGGTGAAGTGGGGATTTGAAGCAGCATCTTTCTAGCACTTTAACCACCTCACCACACTGGTTCTCAAAATGTTCCAAAATGCACAAACGTTTCAGATATTTATGTTCAGCATAAAGGATCAGAGAGCTGAATTGTCTGAATGTGTGGGGGCTTGCCAAGGCACAGGGGATCCTTCTAGGAGGGAGATACAGTGCTTACAATATAAGGGGGCCCAGAGGAGCTGTCCACCTGGCTCTTGTGTGTCAGCCCCCTTTCTGTTTTGAGAAGGCTGTGGGAGCGCCATAGGCGTCTTACTCTGGGGAGAGACGGGGAACGGGGGCTTCATTAAGTCTCCCAACCACATTAATGAAAGCTTGGTTATCATGAGCCCAACCCAGCTTAAGGTGTACAAAATGTCAGAGTAGGACTGTAGCTCAGTGGTACAGCCACAGCATTCTGCACAGAAGGTTCCAGGTTCAATTTTCAACATCTCTAGGGAAGGAATTGTGCTTGAAACCTGAAAGAGCTAATGCCGGTCAGTGCTGGGAACACCAGGTTGGATGGACTGAGGGTCTCACTCAGAATAAGGCAGCATCTTCCTTATGGTACCTTGCTCAGCACATCTACCAAGAGGACACAAGGAAGACCCAGGACAAAGGGCTTAGTCAGATAACCTTTTCAGGGAGACTTTTTCATCACTCCAAAGCTGATTTTATAGGTTTTTAAAAAATCTGTCACCCAAAATTGAGTCAGCATTGGACATCTGGATCTGTTCATCATTTGGCACCTCATGATGGGTTGGATCCTGCCTTCTGTTGTTAGAAAGACTCTTAAACTGCTGGAGGATATCCCTGCCTATTTGTGGGGGGGGGGGGCAAAAAGCAGCTCACCATTCAGCAGAGTTTCCCAAGCCTCTGCACAGGATTTTCATGGGACTGGAGGGCTGTAGGGGGAAGGGAGTGGATAAGTTCAGTTGCACCTGGCTAAATCTGGATCTAATTCAGTGTCCATTCATAGTTCATCTCAAACCTAAAGGGTAGTTAAGTACCCTGTTGCCACATCGATGCCACCTCTTTTGTGTTTGTGGGTGGAATAATGTGCCACTGTATAAATAGCAACATGTGTTCAGGATAGTGTGAATAGAGTGTTTGCCACACAGGCTGACCCTAGGAACTTGTACTCCGTTGTGACTTGCCAATACGTGTGACCTCTTAGTTTAGAAAAACCTGCTTGTACAGTCAATCATCTTGTGTGCCCCTCTTTGAGACAAGTTGCATGTTATTTCTGTATGAAGCAGAAAAATATATTGTTTAAATATATTCCTCAAATATAGTCTTTGTCAATTTATTTTTCAAAAAGGCTTTAAGCTCCCTTTACGGCAAGGAACATGCTTGCCATGAACTGGTTCAAGCCAAGTTGGTAGAAGTGGGCAGAAGGCCAACACTGACTGAAAAAAAGGTTTTCCTATTATACACGTCACTCCCATCCAGCTCATTTTCTTTTTTTTCCCCCACTGTGCCACCATTCTTTCCCTGCAGGAGAAGCAAGATTTTATTTCTTGTGAGATCCAAATTTCAGAAGAACTAGAGATGGGGAAGCAGAACAGCTTGTAACATTTTGCAGTCTCTGGTATTATATAGATGGAGGTTCTACTTTCTTCTTTTTGGCATAAGCAAGTTCCATAGGGGGGGTTCTGCTGCACTTTAGACAAAAAGACTTCCAGCCAGGGAAGGGCGAAGGACAAGATGACCACCCCAACCCCTGCATCCCATTCCATCTACAGAAGCCAGCAAGTCAAGCTGTTAATTATTTATTGGATGCTGGTGAGACACGGCATCTTCTGCCTTGCCTGAGGGCAGCATGCCTGCTTTGGGCATGAAGGGCGGGCTGTGTGGAACACCCAGGTCTGTTCTTCAGCAGAGGCGGAGGAGCCCTACCACTGCTACCTCCTCCACCCCACACACAACCTGCTGACTGAGGCAACCACCGTACTCCACCTAATAGTAGGGCCAGGCCTGAGTCTAGGAATAAGATCTTTCTAATAGATGTCCATTTGGTGGGCTCTTGGAATCCAGGATGGCATCTAAGATCTCTCTAACAGACAATTGTTTGATGGCATCTTAGCGTCTAGGATCATCCAATGTATCTTATTGTGTTGTAAGCCACCCCGAGGCTTCAGCAAGGGGCGGCATAGAAATGTAATAATAATAATAATAATAATAATAATAATAATAATAATAATCCTACTAGCTGCTCATTTGATGGGGACTAACTTAAAGTGAAGATAATAACTCAATCTGCCCCCAGGTTCTTCCTATAGACTTTCATGCACCACCTTCTGATAACTCCTTGGTGTGTATGGGTTTTGTTTCTTTATGCTGAAGGGTAGAGATGCTTCTGGGGGATCTCTGACATAGGCTGAGTTAAATCTCAGTAGGAAATGTGGTGGCTCCAGTGCTCTCAGCTGAGAGAGGATTTATTGTGTTGTATGTCATGCCATGTCAGTTAGTATGTATGTACACATGCATGCAAGCCTTCAAATGGTTTATTTGCCTTTACTGCAAAGCCAGTGTGAGTTCAACATAACCCCTCCAATGATACCCACATCAAATAGCTAGATCATTTCCGTATTTGTTGCCTGAATATTGTTTGCATAACACACACACTGATTTTGGGTAACTAGGAGATCAGGATGTTCAACTTTGACTAATGAGAGTGATCTGAATGGAAGGAATAGGCAGTAAGATTATGTTTTCCTGTGGTTTGGGATCTTCTTAGTTATGCATACCCTTTCTCAAAATATTGAATCCAGGGAGGTGTTTGGTGTAACCTGTAAGTTCTCATACCACACAGTGAATTTTGACTGCTCTCGATAATAAAAGCAAATAAATGGACAAGTTTTTCCCCTTTTAGGGAGAAGAGGTTTCTCTCTTCGTGTACTTTCTCCCTATATACACTGTTCTGCAAAAAGCCATGACACTGAAAAGTCATCTATTGGTTAATTTGCAGATGTATAGATAAATATTCCTGCAGCGCCAACAGCGGGTTCTTGAAGGCCATTGGGCAAGGTACCCTTGCTGGGCTCGCTCATTCACCAAGTCACCCTTCTCATTGCCACTGTCACTAGTTGCTCTTGCCGCTGGCCTGCCTGCTTTTCATTGCTACCACTTGCTTGCCAGGCAGAGGGCCAGGGAGCAAGCAGGTAGGGGCCTCTGGTGCTCCTTCTTCTCCCCGGCACTGTTGTCTGGACCAGAGCGAGAAGCCGGTGAACAAACAGGCTGCCATGGTGCAGAGGAAGAGAAAATACAGGGGGCTTTTGTGAGTTGGGCCCTTCTGGAGTATGGACCCTTGGTAGGTTCCTCCCATGCCCACCCTCGACACAGGCCCCGTCCAGTAGCACGGCAAGACTCCAAAAAGAAAATGGTGAATTAGTTGGGCGTAGTTCGGTGTTAGAACCACTGTTCTGCATGCAGTGTGTTCTGGTTTAATTTGTGATGTGCTCACTGAAAGTCTCTTAATGTTAAGGAAGGGATATGTCTGAAGGCCAAATTATGTGCTATGATAACAAGCACAGAGC